TGAGTTGGTTCCTGCAAATCTGCAGAAGCCTATCAGTAATGGAAGGCTACTTCAAAGCCGCAGTTCTTTCTGGCAACTTTCTCTTTTCTTGGACTTCTATAACACACATTCCTGATTTTCCTATTACCGTGCATGACATTCTATGTTGGATTGTTTTTCAAGCATATGCCCTTTAATAATGGGCCATTAGATTTTGAAATTTCTCAAAATTGACTTGAATGTATTTATTTTTTTTTATTCCTTTCTGATCTTGTTCCCTCCCCCTCACCCCCACATGGCACCAAGTGCTTTGTTATAATCAAATGTCTCCCATACTTTTGTCTCTAGCTCAGACTTCCTTTCTGGGCTCAATATCCATATATCAAACTGTCTACTCTACTTTCCTAAGGAGATGTATCAAAAGCACCTCAAAGTCAAAGCATTCAAGACAATTCAGAATCCAGCCCTCTTCCTGGGACCGTTTCTTCTCCTTCCTGTGTTTCTCATTTCAGTGAGCCTATAACCAGTGGGCATAAAAAAATTGGAGGTTGTCCTACATGCCTCAGTTTCTCTTGTTCTTCATATCCAATTCATCTATGAGTCCTGTCAATGACCTCTTAAATATTTCTCAGATCCCTCACTTCTTTCCCTCTCTGTTGTTAGGCCATCTACCTCCACAGCCCCACTCTGCCATAGTTCTGGCATGTACTCTGCCAGCCTGCACTCCTACCCCCAAGTCTTATATAATTATTTTCCCACTTATAGCCCGAGTGGATTTTTTGAACAACACATACTCTTGAGTCTACTCTGCTCAAAGCCATTTGGTGGTTTTTCACCACTCTTGGGGCAGAGACTAACATCCCTAGCAGGGTTTATAAGGCTCTGTGTGACCTGGCAACACACCCTACATCTAGCCTACTCTTGCAGCTTGTGGTTCCTTTCTTGTTACACATGACATCTTTCCTATAGTTAAGAAACTGGGCACCTAGGTGGCTCAGTTGGTTAAGCCTCTGACTTTGGCTTAGGTCATGATCTCACGATTTGTAGGTTCAAGCCCTACGTGGGGTTCTGTGCTGACAGCACAGAGCATGCTTCAGATTCTCTTTCTCCCCCTCCCCACTCATCTTTTCTCTCTTAAAAATAAATAAACATTTTTAAACAATCCTCCATTCTTCCATTTGCCTCAGGATGTTCTCGAACTTAGGATTCCCTTTGCCTCCAAACTTACTGTTTGCCTAAGTATTTCCCTACTGACTCTTAACACCTCTGTGAAGATAACAGGGTGGATGTCTTTGTGATATCCTGGTTTCAGTACAGTCTCTTTACCTTGAAGTTTTCTGATGACAGATGCCATATCTATTTGGCTTATGGATTGTGTGTCTAGGAAGGATGGGATAGGGTTAGTGGCACACAGTAATTGCTTAATGCTTGCATGGCTGAGAGAATGAGAGTTTTGCCAGGATGATCTTTGTCACTGTTATTTAAATCCTGTAGATCAAAAGAGTATTTTTTTCTCTTCCAAAGGTTTATATCTTTTACTTATTTTCTTCCCTGGAATCATCTTTATGATACTTTCTTTTCACTGCTTCTGTATCTTAAAGATTTTTTTCCCTCTGATTGAGAAGTAAGGATTTCACAAAACCACATTGAGATACCACCTAACACTGGTCAGAGTGGCTAAAATTAACAACTCAGGAAACAACAGATGTTGGCGAGGATGTGGAGAAATGGAAACCCTCTTGCACTGTTGGTGGGAATGCAAACTGCTGCAGCCCTTCTGGAAAATAGTGTGGAGCTTCCTCAAAATATTAAAAAGAGAATCACCCTATGACCCAGCAGTAACACTGCTAGGAATTTATCCAAAGGACACAGGATTGCTGATTCATAGGGGAACATGCACCCCAATATTTATAGCATCTCTTTCAACAATAGCCAAATCATGGAAAGAACCCAAATATCCATCCACCGATGAATGGATAAAGAGGATGTGCTTTATATATACAATGGAATACTACTTAGCAATGAGAAGAAATGAAATCCTGCCATTTACAACAACATGGTTGGAACTGGAGGGTATTATGTTAAGTGAAATAAGTCACTCAGAGAAAGACAGATATCATATGTTTTCACCCGCACGTGGAAATTGAGAAACTTAACAGAAGACCATGGGGGTTTACAGAGGAGGAGGGAGGCAAACCATAAAAGACTCTTAAATACAGAGAACATACTGAGGGTTGATAGAGTGGGGGCGGGGGAGAAGGGAAATGGGTGATGGGGATTGAGGGGGGCACTTATTAGGATGAGCACTGGGTGTTGTATGCAAGCAATGAATCACAGGAATCTACCCTCAAAGCCAAGAGCACACTGTATACACTGTATGCTAGCTAACTTGACAGTAAATTATATTAAAAAAAAAGAAGTAGGGATTTCAAAGAAAATCTCAGGACTTTATTTTCGTTGGTGCATTGATGTGCATGTACCTTAATGTCTTCGTTCAGCATCTTCCCTTAAATTTCATTTATCTCACCAAGGTTTTCCCATCAGTTATTATTTCACAGTTGTTGGAAACATCTTCCAACAGAAGTTCTGTCTGAGTCAGTCTTCACAAGCCATGATCACACTCATCTTTCACCCAGGGCATACCTCCTAGATTCATTTAACTATGTCTAACACATTTACTCCTACAACAAGCTGTGTGGGATTATCAAAGATAGTCACTCAAGCAAGTAAATCTCTGACTAGTCATTTTGTGCCCAACACCTTGAGTAACTGGATGTTGTTTTTCTTGAAAGGCTGAAGGCATGTGGTGCTTGGTGACAGGGTTTTCAGTTTTATATTAGACCATGCCAGGCGGCAGATGGCATGGGTCATCATAAAATTTATCTTTGATTCTGTTTCATTCTTTGCTAATATCACCATATTATTTGTGAAATGGCCCACCATTATGCTCATTTTTTCTGTTTCCTTCTTTAAAACCTGTAAAGCCCTGTGATGCTGGTACAGAGCAATAATTCTTTCCTGCATTTTCATTGGTACAATCCCTACTCTGTCTTTTTTCTTCCCTGTCAAGGCCATGGAGAGCATATCTGCAAAGAAATCACCTTCTAATAGATAAATGTCTGTCTATTCGTCCACCCACCCATCCATCCATCCATCCATCCATCCATCTGTCATCTAGTATCTCGTGTGCCTTCTTCCCTGACATTCATTTAGAACAACCCCATCCTCTGGTTTCTTACTTCATACAGGTTCTCTGGAACTGGCCTTGCACTCGGTTCTTAGAGTATGTTCATTTTGTAAAGGAATCAACATAATGGATTTCATACCCTTGACTACAGAGATCGGTTCAAGCAGGTTATGAGGCTCAATACAGCACAGTAATGTTCAGGTTCAGAATTTTTATTTTTTAATAACGATTGGGAAAAAAAAATGTGTGCATGTGTATACATGTGTGTGCTAAGAGGCTTGCTGAGAGGGGAGATGTGGGGCGTGGGAGCTACTGAAGCCATCTTAGCACCAAAACTGAAGAGCTGGATTGCCTGACGATGAAGCCGAAGCCGAAGGAAGCAGAACCAAATGATAGTATGAGTTTGAACCCTGATTTTAACATTTGAGGTCCTGGATCCAGCTGAACATGAGCCAGCTATACCCCTGGAACTCTCCATATATGTCTCTATTTTGGTCATTGGGTTAAGCCAGTTTGAGTTTTTTCCCCATTGCCACCAACAGTGTCCTGGCTAGTCTATTTCCTTTTCATCAAGCTAAAGTGGTTGCTACCCTGAAGATACCAAGAGGGAAAATACATTCTGGCGGTCAAGTTGGCCATAGGAGGTAGCAAGTTCCCTAGAAGAGTGTCTAGAGCCAGGCATTTGTTTGACAGTGATGCTGACCCTGGGACAGCAAGCATCAAATCAACTGCCATACAGGATGGCCCTTTTAAGCCCCATCAGTTCCTGAAATTCTATGATACCAAAGGCTGGGCCGTTACATTCTTCTATATTCAAGTGAAGTGTCTTGGTGACTGGCTTTCGAAGGTGATTATGGAGTAGAAACCTAAAGTTTTGGGTATCTAAAGTGTCCCTGGAGTTTTTGATTTATTTTCCCCACTGTTATTTCAACATATGATGTCCTTTTCTCTCACCCGTACTTCCTCTTCTTTGCTCTTACAGCTCATTGAAGGGTATTTTCATCTAAAGTTAAAAGCTAACATTTATAATCCCTTTGTGTAAAGATATCCACTATCAAAACTTGTTGCCCGTTTTAATCCTACGTTCTTTTCTTTAAGTATGAAAATGTTCGTATTTTACAGCATATGTTAATTTTTCCCTGCTTTTTCACACTTGACATTTTACTAAATATTTTCCCACCTCCCCACAAGCCTTTCAGAATTTGAATGACTGTACAGTCTCCCCCTTCTTGTGTGTTCCCCATGTGTTTGGCCATTAACCCATTGTTGTACCCTGTTAGCTCCCATCTAATTTTGCTTAAGAGGTAGTTGTCCACGTGAGGTTCACAATTACTGTTTTCACCTAATTAAATCTGCGCTCCGAATTTTAGAAATGATGTGTACATTGTACAAGGATTGCTTTCCTAAGCATTCACTTGTTATTAATTTACGTGTTTGTAATTTTCGAGTGCCTACTATGGGTATGGTATCATCTTCCTAGACATTTTTCACAGACCGAGAAAATTATGCTTTAGAACACTTGTTTAATGATAGCTAAATTTCACACTTGCAAAATTACAAAAAGCTGTGTAAAGATTCAAGGGTCTTTGAAGCCATCTTTGGTTCCACTTACTTGTCATTATTTAATCAGAAAAGAGCCTTATTGGGACACATATGGTGTAAATAGTTCAAAAGATATTTGGATGTTTTCGTGACAGAGGGTTTTCTTACACTTCAGCCCTTAGAATGTTGCATTTTCTTTTTCCACAGCTATGCATTTTTTTTGGAAGGTGACATGCCATTTTTTTAAAGCCAGAAATTAGCTCTATTTTTCCCCCCTCTTTCCACAGGAAATTTTTCTTTTGTATGGAATTCTTCTGGTTTGCAGTACTGTGAGTGTTTGTAAAAGAAATATGCATGTTTTTAAAAGTTCCATCACACAAGAGAGAACTTGTTTCTTCTACTGATTTGAATGGAATTGAGCTTTAAAAGAACAGGTCTATACATACACAACTTAGAAATCTTAAAACACTGGATGAAAGGAAAAGTCCCAATTATCTCACTGAATGTTTGCTGAAGAGGTTCAACAGGGGACAGAAAGATAATGACCGAAAACATTTGAACTCCACTAAATACCTTTCGGGCTGTCCTGCATTTATTGAAGGTAAGTGAAACTTGGTTGATTTCATCTCATAGGGGGCTTCATTACCTCTTTACTTCTGAGTATAAATTATTCTGAATTTTAATTTCAGGTTTGGGGTTTGATACATTCTCAGACTAAAATCAACATTTTTTCCCTCTCTCCTAAAAAGTCTCTTTTGCATACCATTTGGAGACTCATGAATTACAGATGTAAAGCTGAAAACTATAAGGTGAGACAAACTCCTTGATACCACAGGAGACTTTCTGACTACTTTGAGATTTTGCTGTGAAGCACTTGCTTCTTTTTCATCTGGTATCGCTGGAACGAAAATGTACACGGAAACCCGGTTGCCCTGCCGCTGAATTAACATTGGTTCATAGATGGGGAAGAGATACTTTTTCACTCCCCTTCTTTTCCTTTCTTTTAAACTTCTCTTCCTGGATGTCCTATGGGCTACTTGAAATAAATCCATTTACAACCTTATGCGGGGCCTTTATAAAATGCTGTCCTTATACCCAACCTCACTTTTATTCTCAGTGGCTCTCACCTGGCCCCAATATGAAGATAATGAGATGTCCCTATATATTCATTTAGAAGCTGAGTTTTGCCCTTGATGTTACATTTTATATTGATTATCAATTAACTTTTAAGTTGCAGTTAAGCTTAAGTACTTTTTACACATAGGGAATACAGGACACACTGAATTTTTTTAAATAGAAGCTTCCCTGAGGGCGACATTTCTATTCAATTGCAGTATATCATATGAGCCTTTTATGGCGTCTTCAGTTTGTGGACAAGTATATTCAATATGATTTGTCCAACTTTATTTATTATGCCATAAAGTTTACTTTCAACATTTAAAATGCTCTTCTTGATATCTAAGTATTTAATGCTGGGTATCATGCTATCATTAAAGAATCAAAAGTTATGGAAAAGGAATTAGTTCTGGGTTCTGTGTTGACAGATGTGTACTTTCACCACTGTCTGGCTTTATGACTATGTTCAAATCAATTAATCACACTGTGTCTAATGTTATTTGAACATGAGGCACTGTTATTCTATCTTCATAGAGACCTCGAGCCTTTCCTTAGGATCATAACCACCTTTATAGATTCTCACTGATGGCTGCCCCAATTTTATGCCTACTGTACATCTTCGAAGTTTTGGTTTATGCAGTAGTCTAAATTTTATGATCTGAAATTAGTGGCAACTCAACGTGGGACTATTTTTCCATCTGCTGACTGTGCCTCTTAACAGCGATAGAAATAATAACAATTAAATACCTAATTCTAAGTAACTTATCCAAGCCACGCTGCTATTAATTCAGGAAGCCAGGATTCAGATACCAACTGCCGGCCTCCGGACTTTGAGTTCTTTATCTACTGTCAATACCTACAAATGTATCAAGTATATCTACTCACTTATAACTTTTAATGTAGCTTTTACTTACTGCTTCCAAAAAGGAGTTGATGCAGCCCTCCATAAAACACCAATATACAAGACAGTTACAAATCGGGGTAAAACAAGAGGTTTTACATAGTAAAATGGAGGGGAAATTATTATAATTAAAAACTAAACCTGCACTAAACTGATTACTGCAATATAATAGTAATTTAGGAGTGCTCTGTACAGACAAGGCAAAAAAGGAAAATGTGATGGGTTATATGGCTTTCATTTAAAACAAGAAAATATTTACACATTCCTCAGAAGGGGCAAACTTTGTTCTGATACTAAATTCTGACAATTTATAACATGAATCCTTTATTCTCTCCTTTATTTATTCATTCAGCAACTATTTGTTGAATGCCTTTCATGGCTCCGTATTACGCCTGTCACTGGGGACTCAGTGGTGAGCAAAATAGTTTTCTGCCCTTATGGAGAGTACAGTCGTGGAGAAAACGGCCATGGGTCCTTACATTAGTTTGCAATTACAAAGCAGGATCATTGCCATGTGGAAAGAAGCACAGTTCTATAACAAAAGAATATGACCTAGACTTGGGTTTTAGGAGAGGTTTCCCTGAAGAAGTGATGTTAGAGCTGAAATCTCAAGGATAAGCAGAACCTATTCACATCCTTACTTTCAAGTTGCTGCCCACAGACCAGCAGCACCGGCACCAGCTTGGAGCTGCTTAGAGATGCAGAATCTCGCACTCCAACCTGGACCTAGTTACTCAGAATCTGCTTCTGTTTTAACAAGATCCATTTGAACAAGATCCTTTGAGCAGTAAAGTTCGAGAGGCAATGATCTGGGGGAAGGGGTGAGAGGAGACAAAGGGAACAGCGTGTTCAAAGGCTTGGTGGTAGAACAGAGGGTTGAGGAATTACAGTACAGGCAATGTGGCTGCACTCTCGGTGGCAAAAGGAGAGGGGATTGGCATGAGGAGGTAGTGGAGATCTGCACACCCTGGGGCCGCTCGAGCAGAATTTGTAGGCCAGAGAGGCATGAGATCTTTGAAGATTTCTGAGCAGAGGAAGAAGACCATCAGATTTGCATTTGGAAAACATTACCCCATAGTATAGACCAGAGAGTATTTGGAGTGGAAGCAGAGGGCCGTGTAGGTGGCTGTTATGGTGGCTGGGTGAAAGATGATAGTGTGGAGATGGTGAGAAGTAGAGAGATTTGAGAGAGATGCAGTAAATTAAATTAACCAGCTTTGATAATCATTTTAACATGAGGGAGAAGGTGAGTCAAGGATTACTCCCAATTTTCAAACTTGTCCCTTCTAGATGCATAAAGATATTGAGATAAGGAATCTCTGAAAGACCACCAGTTGGAAGGGAAATAACCAGCTGGGTCTTAGGTATGTTGAATTTCTGGTGTCACTGAGGCACTGTGGCAATAGATATCAAAGATGTCATTAGAAAAGTGGGTTCTGACTGGTCTGGATTAGAGACATACATTGAAGAGTGAGATTGAGTAACATGCTGGATAATTAATTTAGGGAAGATGCAAACGCAAAAAAAGGTTTTCATTGTACTATCTCTTGTATTGAATTCCAATAACACTAGCTAATTTAATAAGAGCATTTTTATAGAGTGCCCAATTCATACAATCCAGTTCCACTCTTTTCTATTGTTTAAAGTAGATTCTGGAATAGAATTCAGGTAGTCTGAGAAATATGGATAGTCAATATATTTTTTTAGATGTTTTCAAATATTGATTGTCTTGACCATGCTTTGGCAGAAGTTAGATGGAACTCATTTAAAAATTGAATTCCATGTGCTGTAAGCATGAATTTTATATGTTGCCAATTGCCTGGTCCATAATAGACTCACAATAATGTTTGAATTGCTGATTGTTGAAGTGAGAGCTGTATATTTTAGATATCTGACTCGCGGGTGGTAAAGCTGGTATTCTATTATGAAAATTAATGAGCCTGATAAACCTTCTCATTCAAATAGAGTGTCATCCTACCTCTGTGCAGAGAAGGGCCACAGATGCGCATCCGGACTGGGCTAAAGCTAATCTCTAAAATATCTTTGACCCTGCTCAAATACATGGACAAACATAAGTAGTGCAGAAGATACAATGTGACTGGAAAATTGAAGTGTAGATTTTATCAATCAGCTGAATTAGCCATGAAAAGATAAATGTGATTTCTATAGAGTAAGTGTACCAGATGCAAAATATATACCCAAGAGTTTTAATAAATTAACCCATTTCATGGAAGGAGAAGCTAGAATCAGGGATAATTATAGAATTTCTAACAACTGGTGTGGTAAAGGCACAAGCCAATAAGAAAAGACATCAGTCATATTGCCGAAGTAGGCAGGCATTACTTGAATGAGCTTGGTGGTGGGTATTCTGGCAATGAGAAGCCAGGGTGATAGAAAATAGTTAGTCCTCGGGGGGTAAGAACAGGTAGTGTTTTGTGACTACAAATAGCAGTATTTCACTATTTTAACAGCCAACATGGCCTGTTCTATTACCTCCTGGCTGAATATCAGCCCTTCCTGAAATGACATATTTGAAAAGTAAGAAATGACGCCAATAATCTTTTTTCTTTTTTGAAACTGAACTCTTTTTAGTTTTTAAGTTTATTTATTTATTTTAAGAGAGAGCAGGGGAAGGGCAGAGAGAGAATCTCAACCAGGCATCTTACTGTCAGCACAGGTAGATGAGGGGCTAAAACTCACAAACTGCAAGATCATGACCTGAGCTGAAATCAAGAGACCTGGCTTAACTGAATGAGCCACCCAGGCATCCTCAAACCAGTAATCTTTGGTTTTAGCATGGCTAAAATTTTCTTATTATTTTTCAGTAACAATTAACTGATCAGTTTGTCTGCTTTTTAAGCCGTACGTAGTAGAAGAAATTACTGGTCTTCATTGGCTTTGGCAGAGGGCAATAATGTGACACATCCTAATAGTTTTTTTTGTTTACAAGTAAGAAAGGAAGGAATGGGGTAAGACATATCTTACCATTATACTTAGAATATGGTCTTTCAAATGACTGTCCAAGTGCCTTTGATTCTAGGAAGGATTTTACGGTATGGGCTCTGAGAAAGCATTGAGTTAGGGCTCTTAGCTTAGATTATATGATTTAGAAGATGAGACAGCACAGTGTGAAATAATCCTGCCATAGAAATCTTATTTTCCTGACCACTCACTGTCTTGGGGCTAAAAGAAGAGGCAAATAAATAAGAAAGAACTATTGGCTGAGTTTGGGTCCTTGAAGTCCAGCTTTCTCTTCCTTGATGCTGAAGTGCTTCTCAGACCCCACACTCTTTTCCACCTTCTCTGCCCATCTTCTGCCTATGTTCTATGTTCTTGACTATGTTTCCCACAGGTGAACCCTGTGGATTCACCTCAGCATCTGAAATATGCTTTCTCTTCATAATTAAAATAATATCTGATTTTTTTCCAGGGGAGTTAAAGCTCGGGTTCATCACTTATGAACATTGCCTGGGTCTTGATCAACTGGAACATTATCAACCAGGCCACTTTTCCCAGACTCTGTCTTAATGATTACTTTGCCACTTCTACCTTTGGGGGAATATCTATCGTAAATGATACTGTGATAGTCGGCACTATCCTTTAAACATTACTTTAATGCCAGACTTTAGTTAAATGCCCATCTCCTCCAGATAACCAGATTCATCCAGTGTGAAAATTTGATTTGACTGATATATAAACAAAAATATACTAAATAATGATTCCTAGAACCATATATCGGTACATAGAACCATATTTAGGTACATAGAATAAAATGTGATTAGCACATACATTGTAGTTTAGTGTTTTTCATTTGTTGGCTTGATGCATGGTGTGGATTCCATGAAGAAGGATAATCTCAGGACAGAGGTTTAAGAAAAGAATAGGATCTTTTTCCACTTGTTGCACTGAAAAAAATTTATTATGGGAGAGTGGCTATATTTTGTCTCCAGTCCATCTTATTCTCAGTAATAGATAATAATGATTGTATTTATTAGTGCTTATGTGTAGCTCTACCATAATCCCAAATTAATCTAGTATTTCGCTGTTAGAATCATCAGTATTGAAACAACCTCATTGTTTTCATTCGAAACTTCAGTTTTAACGTATATTTTTTTGTAACTGCGACTTTTTTTGCATTCCTCAACTAACAAAATCTTAAATGAGGGATCATCGCCGTTTCTTGACAACCAAGAGGCGAAATGAGCATGCTTTCATATGCAAACAAACGTTAAACATAAACTGGGAAGGATTATTCAGTTTGTACAGCATATAATAGAAAATTGTGACCTTTCAGATAATCTCAAAATTCAGCTAAATGTCATCCTCATCCCCAAAAGAATGGGAATGGTCCTAAAAATTCTCCTGTTTGGTAAATACCCATGAGACATTTACTACTGATCTCACTCAGGGGTCGTTTTAATAGAGCCAACGAGTCAGTTTAGAGAAAACAAAGATCTCATTCAGTACAAGGTATTACAGTATCGAAAGTGTGTAATTACCTTCTGTAGGACGTTACGCATTATTTCTCTTACTGTTGGAAACATCTGAAATATAGGCTAATTTATCGCATCCTCAACTCTTGTCAGCTTTGTAAAATTCTGTTGTTTCGTTTTCTAGATAATTTTTCCTTGTGAAACTTTCTTTCTTTTGTCTCCTAATAAATATGCCCTTTCTAAATCCTTTTTCTTTGAAGATGGAAAGACTGAAAAGGACTACTTTTGTAATTAAAAGTCATTTAAAAATAACCTCAGAAGATTGTTTCTAGATATCAAAACATCTTTATGGTCCCATTTCTATGGCAAGAAAGACAAGCAACTGGGATCCTGTACATTCTACTGTAGTCTACGTTAATTACCTTCTATTAAAAAATGACAAAGACCTTTTTAAAGGGAATCTGGCACTCTTTCCACAGAAATGATGGCAGACACCCTACTTTGCTGATTTCTTGACACTTCTAATTACCTGTATTCATTTGAAATCGTTTCCTTTGTAGAGAGTTATTGGCATGATTTTCTGAGAACAAGAGGAAAATGGAAAACATTTTAGCAAGTTAAGGAAAAAAAATCAACAGTATCATTGTTTGCCGCTTTTGTTGAAACTACCTACACGAGTCATTTGAGGGACATGAAGGTAAATGAAAGGTTATACTTTGCCCTGCACGTTGTTGCTGGTATTTGTAATGTCAATAACTGTAGAAGGTTGTCAGGAAACTGGAGAGATAAAGGTCAATAGCAATGACAAATATATCATTGTATGTGTTTGAATATGCAATATCAGCCTAATCTGCCAGTGGAGGCTTTCACACCCTGGAAATATCAATCAGGTGCTATATGAAACCCATCTATTGTTCTTTAGTCTCCTAGGCTGCAATGCGGAGATCCAAAGATTGAAAACCCATCAGAGATTTTTTTTTGGGGGGTGGGGGGGCATCATAGCCATTGCTGAATACACATATAAATGCTCATTATTTCTTTTAGAGTTGGGCTTTAAAAGTGTATTCACAGTTACTCAGTTTCTCAGATTGTTACATTTGGGGAAATAAAACATTTTTCCTATCACCAGAATGGGAAGACTCAATTCAGTTTTGCAGATCATTGCAGTGAGGTAGATGTCAGAGATGTTCAGTGATATGAGCAAAATTAAATACTAAGTTTTTGTACAGTCTTGACAAAAATTTAGTGGGGCTAATGGTGAACCTTTATGGCAAGTTCTGCCTCCTGTTGATATTGACAGGTTAGAAAGTGTGGTCATTTGTACTCCATAATAAATTATTTACAAATGAAATGCACAATAGGTTACTTAAACTGTGTCTCCACCAAGAGCAGACTTGTTACAGTGTATTTTGTTGGAGCCAAACCAAAGTATTCAGATTTAGTAGACAAATGTATCTATCTTCTTTGTAGTGAATTGTGCTAACGAATTCACTTAAAACCTTGCGGGAAATGAAAAGTAAAAATAAAATAGCAAGAGATCTTTTAAATGAATGTGCTTCAACTTGGTCTTGAAGAACACCTGCAGGACATAATGGCAGTGTGTTTGAAACATAGAGGGATCATATTTTATGGATATTACCTTTTAATTTTGGCATCTGCTGGTGCTCTCCATTAACATAAAATATTTTGAAAAATCTACTCTTCCTGAGACATTCTGCATTCTTTTTTGGGGGGGGGGTCTAATGTCCCCTTTCCCCAATGCTGGCCCAGTGCATTAGCCAGCCTTCCCAAATGTGCACACGGACCACATGGGAGGTGATGTGAAAAAGAGATTTGCTCCTGAACTGTGCACGGAGTGACAGGGAAAAAAAGAGTAGTACATTCAGCCGCACTCTGAGGTGACAGAGTAAGAGAAAAAGCTGGAGGGGACAGAGAGGGCCTGAAGGAGAAAAGACATAAGGAGAAAGATAGAAATGATTTAGTGATGGGAAAATAAGGAAGGGGCATCACAAAGGCAAAATATAAAAATAATTTATTATAATAAATATAATTTGTTACATAGAAGTGAGATTTACTGAACATGGAGAGAGAGAGAGAGGAGGAAAAAAAGGGAGAATTAGAATTTCAGAGAAAAATGAGATGATATTCAGGAAGCTCATCAGAAGGGAAAGTCCTAGACAGTGAAAGGGAAACAAAACTAGTCAAGTCCCTGTTTTTCAGTCAAGGTGTCTGTTCATCTGTTCATTCAAGGGACAATGAATGAGAGCCTCCGACTCACCAGTCTTCGGCACACATCACATGGAAACAACCCTGTTAGGAAGCTGTGTGCCCTGACCATTGCAGTCAAGCTCCAGTGTGCTTGTACATTTCTTTCCGCTTTTAAATATTCCAGAAAGTTCATTAGGGAGATTTTACATAGAGTTTTATTTCTAATGCTCCAATTATTTCCAGAGAAATAATCGTTTTAAAAGTCCTCAAGCAAAAACCATAAATGGGTTAAGTAGGAGACGTTGAGATTGGATTATTTTATCTTTCACTGGTTTCCTTTTGTATTTCGTTAGTTTTTGATTACACTTCTGACCTCCAGATAAGACTCCTATGTAAGTAAACAGTCTGGCTAGATTCACCATGTGCCAAATGACAGCTATAGTACTGTCCCCAAGGTTTTATTTATTTGGCTTTTGATTTTTTGTAATTTGAAACGATATAAGCAGAAGTAGACCTTGACTTTTGTCCTCTTACTTGAAGGTAATATTTTCTTCGTGAAGTTAACTCAAAAGTTTAAGAAACAATAAAAGGGCTCATGTGCATTAGACAGACGTTAAATAGAGTAAACTCTTCTTTGTAATTTCAGCAACTTGCATGAAGGTGCTGGAAATAATAGAGTCCTGGACTGTCTATGCTGAAATGTCTCCTAATGCCAGAGTGAGAATAAAATGTTGAGGGTTTATATTTTTTCATTTATTTCTTGCCCTCCATCTTTTGCGGGGTAAAGGGTAGTTTGGAGATGAATGGATAATTTGGTATAAGTGGTTTCATATTTGTTGTGATCTCTTTTTTTTTAAGTTTGTGATATAGCACAAAGAAATAATGATCATTTGGTGCACCATAGGGCTATTCTTTTATGTTGGATGCCTGCTATTGAAAATCGGCTGAGTAAATTGTAATTTTCCATTGAATCTACATAATTTTGCAATTTCTTTCTTCCCTCTCACAGTACAATATTTGGGCAATGATGGGATCACATAGTAATTTTTACTTTTCTCTCTCCTCTTTTCATTGTTATCACTGATCATTTTAGTCATCAATGGCCCACAATGGGACGCACTCAGAATTTGCAGAATTATTCCATAGCTTTTCTCTTTGGACGGAAAACTTAATATAATTTCTAAGTGTAATAACCTCCTCTACAAGGTGAACATGCTGAAGGATAACTGTAATTCACCAGTGTTAGGGATGGGGGAGATTAGATATGATTTTATTCATATCTGTCTTCTCTATCTCTCTATGTAGACAGATAAAGTATTAGACATGACAGAGTGTGCAGTTGTGAGGAAAATCACAGTCTCAGGTCTTTTCTGAGGTAAGAATAGGGTGAAGGCCAAATGCTCCAGTATTGTACAAGTTAACTTATGCTTTCTTACACACTTACACACAAACACCCGCTCAACTCTCCCCCTTTCTTTCACACATGCCACATGAACCAAGTTTTCCTGTCTGAAAGGAAAAATTATCTAGCTTTTAATGCAATGTTAATCTTTTCCAGATATAGTTCCTTCTTCAAAACTCACTAATCTTATTTATTAAGAGTGTGCTTAAGGAAGCCAAATAGACACAGAATTATTGTTGGGATTTCAATACCTCTCCAAGATATTGTGATCTGAATTTAAGCAACAGAGAACAACCGAAGGAAGAAAGAATAGTTAGATAAGCAAGTAGAAAAAATAGAGCCAGTGTTCTTGGTAAAAGAACTGATGATGATGAACTGGGGGAGGGAATAAAATAAACTTCAAGTCTAAAAAAAGAAAAGGTTTGTTCGATCACGGTAAGAAAAAAGATCCAGGAGGCCACAATGGATCACAAGCTAATTTTAGGGGTTGAAAACAGAAACCCATTGTTCAAAGACAAAATACTGATAGACTGTCAGCAAAGAATTTACGGAACATAAATAGTCATCCACATTATATGCATTATTAATCAGTTCCTTGTTATCATACTGCGTTTTAGGAACCTGCTACTTAAGTGAATGTGCAAAATTTGGAGTAGGTCCCGAGGAAGCAGCAAAATAACTAAATGGTGGGGAAACAGTCCCAATGAAACAAGAGTAAAAGAACTGGCCTTGTTTAGTCAGGAGAAGAAAAGACTTGGAGGGAATTAATAGCAGTTTTCAAGTTCATGAAGGAACACAGTCCTTTGCAGGTAGAGGTGAACAGCTGGCCTCTGTTTCCTTTGAGGAGAGTACAAGACAGCAGGGTCTTAAATGCAGTAGATGGGATTTAAGCAAGGTGTTAGGAAGATCAGGGGAAGTGCAGAGAGAGGATCCTCAGGCTTTAGAATGTATTGAGGGAATTATTATTATTTTTTGGAGTTAGTCCAAATTGCAGAATGAAAAAGAAAGAGTACAATCTATAAAACGGGAACCTATAGAAGAAAAGAGACAAAGAATGAAGAATTGTGGTCTAGGGATAAAGGCCAACTGGGATAAAAGAAATACCAAATTGTAGAAGTGTTGTAAGACTTAGAATACTTGATGAGAAGGGAAAATACATTGCAGAAAAAAAAAAAAGGACATAAAACAGGTAAAGACAAACCATGAAATGTGAGGGTATGGCATGTATTTGGAATAAATGTACAATTCTCATCAAAATTTTGTTTTGGTTGGGGGGAAGAATTCTAAGTATTCATGTGTGCAATATATACCAGCCGCTAGTAATTTTTTAAAAATTCTGTTAGATTGATGTCCTTGAATATTAAAAATAGAACTCACAAACAGATTTGCCATATTTTATGCCCAGTTTTATAAAAAACAAAAAGTAATGGGGAAATGGGCTAAGGAACTTCTCAAATCTTAGCCACCCTTTTGATCTCATGAAATGGGAAAATTGTGATTGTGTGCTAAGTAAATGGTGGTACATATGTAACACAGGAAACAAGAATAAAAATGCACAGAATGTAAAAAGCAATATTATAATCCAGAAAAAAAAAAGGATTGCAAAGTTCATCAACCTTCCTTATCACAAGAGAAGTAACTGAGTAGACAGTGATCTAGGTATTATGCAGAGCAAACAAACAAATGTGATCCATGAATTAAAAAATTTAGAATCTAAGATTGGTTGTCATTTGATAAGAATGTTGCATTACAGGTATATCACCTGGGATTGCAGAATCCGCTGCACTTAAAGTGACACTGAGGTTTGTAAATGACTATTTCAGCAAGTTGAGTTGTTAAAGAATATGCATCAGCTTTTAAAGCCATTGCGGAGGTTGAATTTTCCAGTCCCCCCTGAACTCCGTTACAACCTAAACCAATAATCGAAATTGTGTTTAAAGATTCCAAATATATTATATCGTGGCTCTGGGTAATTAGCTGGATTTCTAGATTCCTTGGTTAGCTTGATCAATTTTCTAGTGACTTTTATTTCTTCAAATGGTCCCTCTACCTTTTTGAAAATGGAATGGATTCTGCTTATGTTTAGCTTTGTTGAGCAGATTTCAATATTTCACAGCTGTGTTTTGTCATTGATAGGTTTGGTCTAATGTGCTTTGTAATGGGCTATTTTTTTCTAATGTTTGAAAGTTTCCTTCACTCTCAAATACAGAAAATAGAACAGTCCATATTTGAATTTATTTTGCCAAGATGATAGTTATGTATATTTTATAACATTCTGGTACACAGATCTTAGCAATCTAAAAATAGATCCCTGCAAATATTTTTTACTGCTTTTAAGAAATATAGTTACAAACACTTCACTTGTAAAAGATTTTGGTTTGGAAATACATCTTAGTGTATCTCTCTCTCTCTCTCTCTCTCTCTCTCTCTCTCTCTCTCGACAAAGAAAAGCCTTTTGTTCTGGTCTCTCTGGCACTACCTCATTCTGTGACTTTCTGCTGTCCCCTAGTGGCATGTTAATCTTCTTGACTACTGTGTGATCGCCTCTGGAACCAATTCTCTACTCTTCTGTGCTTTTTTGTGACTCTCATTAGCAGACATTTAAAATACTATTAAACAACCCATGAGCTGCCTTTTAGAAGCAATAACCCTGTTCTTGAGCCCAAACAGTTTTCCACTCATGAATCCCTACTCGAGTAAACATGTCGAGGGAATGTCTGCTATCTACATACATTGTATTATCTCACTACAATAAACATTTCAGGGTTTCAGAATTATAACACGAAACTGATGAAAGCAAAATGTTATCAGTTTTGACTGGTCTATACATAACATACGGTAGCTCAAAAGGTAATTTGTGACAGGTCAGACTATTTATGTCAATGGGTTTACAAACAAAAAATTGTACTATTCCTTTTCCTTCACTTTTCAAAATCCCGCTTGGGTATTCTCACCGTAATATTTGCTCTTCTCATGGTGATATTTTTCAATGAAATATTTAGAAAGATACAATGAAACTGTATGTATCTGAAGCATTAGATGGAATTCATTTATGTAAAAGATTTTGCATTGGCCTCTACCATGATTACATGAAAAAAAAGTTCTTAAATTTTTCTGGAGGTTATTTTTCCATATGAATCAGCAGCGTTTTTTAAATTTTAAGATGGGTTGGTTATTTTATCTTCCCTCCATAGTTTACATGCTTGAGATGCAATGTTTAGCCGTAATTCGGGGCTGGTAAATTTTTCAGCCAGCGTTTTGTTTTTCTGAATTAGGCATTTTTAAATGTATGTAATGAGAATGGAATGTAAGAATTAGTCAAAAACAATAGTTCAGGGGTTTTTTTAATATTTAATTTTAAGTCATGCGGAATTACTATAAGTCTGGCTTACACAACTCTTTTAAAAGATGGCTTAAGAAAAAACACAGCAAGAAAAATTTACAAGAAAAAAAGGTCTGATGAAATCTGTCCCATTAACTGAATGTTACAGAAATCCGAGATGTATAGTGAACTAATGATTTCTTGGCACTGTCTTGTTTGGCACTTATCATGGTTTTGACAATTATCACATGAATAGCAACACTTTTTTCTTTCTAAACTTGGAGGGGGTGCGGCGGGAAGGGCTCTGGGGAAAAAAGGAGGCCCGAAGTCCTGGAAACTCCCATATTTTAGTAATTCTAGTGTACAGTTTGGCCATGTGGAAGAAAAAAAAAAAGAACTAAGATGTAAGGCTCTGTCAAATGACAATTTTTCTTGTTTCTTCAAAACAAAAGTTGGTATCGTTTTTGAGCTGCTTCTCTTTTAAAAGGTCAGATTGCACCGATTTTAGCCCATTTTGTCTGTTTATATACGCCTCTGTTGGGATAAGATATCCAAAAAGAAAGCTTTAGATCACAATCAGTCTTGGCTTATGTGCAAAGCCACCCGAACAATCCAAGAAATCCTATTGACCATCATGCGGAGGGGGAAAAGGAAGAGTTTAAACCCACTCAACTTTTTCTCAAGAGAAAAAATGAACCACTTTTTCAAACCTCCTTAACACTGGAGAGGACTCATGCCCCCTCCTCAATGTTGCTCCACCATTCAATTTCTCAAATTCAAATTACTTGGTTTCCTAAAAATACACCCTCCATCAAACACTCTGAATTACAATAGCTATTTTTCACACAGAAATGTCTGATTTTTTTTTAAGTTGTCTATTCAGCTTGTAAATGTTCTAAAAATGTTCTCCTGGAGTTATTTTTAAAAACTCATGGTATGGTGGATAATAAATATTGTTACTCTGTTACTGGAAACATTGGAAACAACATATTTGACAGGTTAATAGGA